GGGGGGGGGGCAGTTGCTAAGGTGGCACAAGAGGACTTCTTCCTACTTCTTTCTATCCAGCCACAACCTGCCTGCCTGAATTGAAAATCCCCACAACAACCAAGGCTTGTCTCAGAGGTGCTTTGCAGAGCAACAAGGCAGGTAGAGAGCAGGGCTGGAACGGGGACGCTCGGAGATGCATTCGTCCCACTTTGCCTTATTTCCTTCTCTCCCACCAGACAAGCAAGCAGGGCAGCACGGAAGGTGGATTTCCAAGCTGCCGGCACTTACCGGGCTGCGATTAGCCGCTACGGCGGCACACCGCATATCCCGCTGGGCCCTTTTATTGTATACATATTGCTGTCACTACCTCTAGGCATGAGTCATATAGAAAATGTGTGTGTGTATATAGGCAGCTGAAGAGCAGTTATTTTATCCCAGAGATGAGCCAGCTTTCAAGACAGCCTTTTCATGCAGAAGCCAAAAAAAAAAAAAAAGGCCCCGCAGAGCCTAGACAATGCTGGCCCCCGTGTGCCACGCACAGAGAAAGGCAGCAAATTAAAGGACAGAGCAGAAAAGCGCCGCATTAAAGACTCTGCAGCGCGCCGGGCAAATCGGGGTGCTTGATCCCTCTGCTTTGCTGTCACCGTGCCTCATTTGCTTCCCGGCGGAGGGGAGCTAGGGCCAAAAGCAGCACCGAATGCAATCCTCCAGACCCACGGTGGCCCAGGAACCCCTCTGGAGAAGAAGGAGCTTTCTCCAAACCCTCACTGCCAGCCTGCCCGTGCTGGGCTCGAGTACCATCATTTTTATATCAGCTCTAATTACATTAATTACTCTCCTCAGTATAAAACTCATTAAGCTGGAGTTTTTGGTTCATTAACGCCAAGCCGAAGAGGTAGCTGCTTGCTGGGGCAGAGGGTTTGGTGGGAACGGTTCTCCACTGAGCTGTCCCTGGTCGTGCTGCTTGGCGTCCACTGGAGCACGATCCACGGGGGTTCTTGCCTTGGAGAAGACAAGAGTCGAGAAGTTGCTCATGTTCTGCCCCTCATTTTCCTGCATCTGAAACACTGGCAGCATTTCCTCTGTCCAGGGGTGGGCTGATCCAGAGCCTGCAGGAGCTGGGAGAGACACGTAAGGATGACCTAGGATGAGGAGGGGCACCACTCAGTCTGGGGCCCTGCGCTCCCAGACTCCCCTTCACCCAGGGGTGCTATGGGTCCCCCCCTTCCAGCCCTCCTGCACATCACAACTGCAAAGGCACTCTGGGCATCCATGATGTGTGAGACCAAGTCACTGTCACTTGCCATGGCAAGGGAGAGGGAGCTGTGAGGCTCCCATGGCCAGGTAGTGAGTGTTTTAGCTTCCTCCAATGCGAGGGGGACCCTGGGCCAACTGAGTGGCAAGATGCTGGAGGCTTCCCTCCTCCATGGTGCCAATGTTGTGATTCACAAAGTCCCCTCACCTACCGCCAGCTCCACCTGGCCACCAGCCCAAGCTGCCCTCCTTCTCTCCGTTCCTGGGAGTGGCCGGAGAAGGGTTTTGATGCAGGGGAAGCAGGGTAGAGAAGGCACTGGAAGAGCTGCAGATCCTCGCTCTGGCTGTTGGGACAGACTCGTCCACCCAAAGCATCTCTGACCGGCTGCCCAAGCTCCCCAGGGCTGAGCTGCCCGCGCTGGGCGATGGACGTGACAGGCGCGCTGACCCACTAATGGACTGGAGAAGCCATTTCCTGAGCGCAGCACCTCCTTGGTGCCACGCAGGTTGCTACAGCGCTGGCTAATTACAGTAATTAGGGAATCACGCTGAGTGACAGCAGACAGGGGGTTCAGAGTCATTCGAGTCCTACGGAAGATCAAACAGATGCAGGCGTTCCCGCTAAGGCTGTCTCTGGCTGCGGGTGTGGATAGTGAACCCGCACACCGGCTCAGCCAGCGTGGGGTCATGGCATCTGTCGTGCCCTGTCCCGCCAGGCCGGAGCAGGGAGGGATCCAGGTCCACAGGCCTGTCCATCTTCCAGGACCTCTGCTTCTCTGCCCAGCCAAGAGGCAGACGGAGGCTGCAGCCAGCTTTTTAGAAGGGCCGGGAGGGGAAGGTCCCTCGGTGCAGTGAAAATGAGATGTATTTAGTCTCAGTCCTGCATTAAGTGCTGTTTTGTGCTACCAGCTATCTCAGCCTAGCAGCAGCAGAGCAGAAGGGAGCAAGTGCAGTCCGGGCAGCATCTGGGCCCATATCTAACTGGTCTGGTCCATTCAGGAGGACTGATTGAAGTGGCTGCAACAGCAGGGGACTGGACTGTGATCCAGGAAGTCCCTTTCAGATCTGTGTCCTATTTGCTCTGCTCCCTGCCCGGGTCAGATCTCAGAGGAGCACGCGACCTGCCTTCACTCATGCCCAGAGCACAACAGGCCACGTGCAAGAGATTGGCTCAGTTCATACACGCTATTAGCATTGAAATTAATTTCTTTCTAAATGCACACGAATCGATGCCGAGAAATCCATTGGCAGGAACTTTCTCAATCCGTCAATGTCCTTGTTAAAGCCGGGTCTAGCTGCTGGGTATTGGGCTGGGGGTGGGAGGGCTGCAGGAGGGAGCCGTGTGGGGCTTGGAGGCAAAGGGGTCCAGTTCACTCCTAGGTGTCTCTGACCTCTGTTTCCTCCATCGGCGAGTGGAAGATGGAGCTACTGCACACGTGGGTTGAAACCTCTTGGCAATTTACTGCCAGTCTTTCCAATGCTGCTCTCTAATTGTGCACCCGCCACGGTCACATAGGCATCAAAGGGGCTGCACATAGGGGCTAATTCCACTCCTGAAGTGGGTGTCTTAGAGGCATCAGTTTGCACTGGCACGTGCACAATGACTTGGCCTGAACTCAGAAGCCAAAGCTGAGACAAGTCTTTTACCCAAAGCATCTTCGAGCACCTAAAGATCCAGATGGTTGAATCCAAGATGGATACAACCCTGCCGGGCTGCCCTTGGAAACCAGAGCCAGGTCACTCCCGAAGTGCTATCATCAGCATTTTGCCTGGCCTAGTTCGGGCTGCTCCAAATGAATGGGGCATTTACTGCTCCCTTAGGAAAGCATTCATGGCAGGATATTGTGGTTCCCTGACTGAACACTCTCAATGTAATTCCACTGACTT